TAATTTACTATTGCCCTCTCCCGAGATACACTAGCTTAATTTATTTAGCACGATTCACTTTAGATTACACCCAAGGCTTCGTTATCCCTAATCCCGCCTTTAAACCCGCAATTATAGATTCCTCTAATAATCTAGGAGTGATGTTGTTCAACAATACCCTAAATATGCACTCTTTTCCAAGTTATGCACACTAAATAGGCACAGCTAATTGAGGATCCTGTCGATTAACTATAACGAACACGAAGTTGAACAAATAGAGATTAAACTAGCAATTTGTATTCACATAAACAAGAAGTTCATCACCCTAAAAACCTTAGACAAGGAATTTAGCTACTCATGGCTATGGGAAAATAAACTAAGATTGAATTCATCATAAAAATCAAAAGAAAAGAAGAAAGATGGTTGGAGTATTCTCTCACAATGGTTTTTCCTGCTAAGAAACCTTAAAAATCAATACATGCCTCTCTTGGGCGAAGTCTAATGTTTTAAATAGGGTTTAGGTCTAAAAATCCGTATTTGACACTTTGACCCCTGAAGTTTTCGCGCCTGCCGCGGTCGCGGTAGAACCGCGGCCAAACACCCTCGCGGAATCCCTGAAGTTCTGCAGCTGCTTTCCACCGCGGTTCTGCCGCGATCGCGGTGGAACCGCGGTGGACCCAGTGCTCTGAATCTTCGGCCTGTTTTGCATGGTTCACTTGGGAAATTTCACAGTTGGCCTCTTTTTCATCAATTTTGACTCCTAAAACTGCTNAGCTTATTCATCAAGTGAGGACAGACTTGTAAGTTAAGTTCAAAATGAAGGACTTGGGAGAATTAAAGTTCTTTATGGAAATTGAGTTCTCTAGATCTAAAGAAGGAATTCGTATGAATCAGAGGAAATATGCTCTTGAGTTAGTGTCTGAGCTGGGATTGGCTAGTGGAAGGCCTGTTGCTACACCTCTTGAGTTCAATCATAAACTTACCTCAGTAGCATTTGATGAATTCATGAACAAAGGGGAAACCTCTACAAATGTACAACTTGAGGACCCATGGAGCTATCAAAGACTGGTGGGCAGACTGCTGTACTTGACAATGACAAGGCCAGACATTGCCTCTGTTGTTCAAGTACTGAGCCAACACATGCATGCTCCTAAGCAGTCACATATGGAAGTAGCTGTACGAGTGGTCAAGTATATCAAGGGAACTGCAGGATTGGGACTGTTTATGCCAGCAAAAGGTAACAAGGAACTACTTGCCTACTGTGATTCAGACTGGGGTTCATATGTGGAAAAAAGGAAGTCTATTACTGGTTATATAGTTAAGTTTGGTGAAGCTTTAATCTCTTGGAAATCCAAGAAGCAAAGCATAGTTTCTAGGAGCTCTGCTGAATCAGAATTCAGGAGCATGGCAGCTACTGTTGCTGAAGTCACTTGGCTAGTTGGTTTGTTTGGAGAGCTAGGAGTTGCAGTGAACAATCCTGTGCAGTTGCTCTGTGATAGCAAAGCTGCTATACAGATTGCAACACATCCCATATTTCATGAAAAGACAAAACACTTTGACATTGATTGTCATTTTGTAAGGGAGAAAATTCAGAGTGGTCAAATTCAGACTCAACACATTAGGACTAAGGAACAACCAGCTGACTTACTTACCAAGAGTTTATACAAACCACAACATGAGTATTTGATTAGCAAGCTGGGAATGAAGAACCTCTTCCATCCCTCAGTTTGAGGGGGAGTGTTGAGAAGAATGCATAGTGTAGAGGTTAATTAGGAAGTTAGAAGTTAGTCAGTGGGCCAAATGTACAGCTGTCAACAACTAATATATTGTTAGATAGTTAGTGGTTAAGTGATGTATGTATATATATACACATGTACAGTGTAGGCAGAAATAGATTCGATATTTTCCAAATTCTGCTCTATTACTTTCTTCTTCCTTCCTCTGTTCTCTCTGTTCCTTCAATGGCTATGCCACTCTTAACAATATTGAGAATACATTTATTAGCAATTCATAAATAATAATCTTTTCATTATTAATTATCGGATAAACAATTCTCCCAATCCATTAAAATTTTCGTATAAACAATTCCTCCATTATAATTTCCGTATAACTAGAATGTGACCATACTACCCATGAAAGAAGTGCTCGATTTAAAAATTATTCGACATGTTACATATTAAATACTTTTTTGGAATTTTTACACCCTATAGAAAACCTTAGTACCCTATTTATTTTAAATAAATACCATTTTAAAATATTATATCTTATAGATACCTTTTATACTTTATAGCCAAATATCTAATTATAGTTACATCCTACATTTAAGGCACAATATATTCTAAATAATATTTTTCTCTCTCCTTTTTAGTCTTTTCTCTCACATAATCACCGTAAAATTGACTAACCACGTTCTCTCTCTCTCTTTTTGCATACACTTTACTCTTTCTCCCTCAACCCACGATTCATACCTCTTCTCCCACCCAAATTCTCTAGTTCTCCTCCATTATCACTCCATTACAATCGCTTAGGGTAAGTTTAATTCGTTGATTTTGATAGACGAAGAGCAATTGGTTCAACTGTAGCAGCTCGATTCTGCATGGCAGTGGTCGTCGAAGTAGGGTTCACAGCTTTTGCGTAATCCATGGCTTCGTTTGTGGGATTTGAGGGCTGGTGATTGTTTGTAGTTGTTGTAGGAGGTTGGGCAGATGTGTTAAGGGGCTGACCAGCCAGAATTAATGGCTGGCCGCCGGCCGGCGAAGCCATAAGGCTGTTTCTCTCTCTAGATCGCCCAAATCGCCTATTTGTATTCAGTTGTATTCGAATGTATATTTCAGCTGTATTCACATGTATTCAGCAGCATTCATTTACATATTTTAGATGTATTAAAAAGTTATGTTGTATTTAACTATTTTATTCAGCAGTAGTTAGTTGTATTCAAGTGTTTTATACAACTGTATTTAGTTGTATTCAGTTGTAGTTAGTTATATTCAACTATTTTATTCAGCAGAAGTTAGTTGTATTTTGTTGCATTCAAGAGTTTTATTCAGCTGTATTCAGTTGTATTTTGTTGTATTCAAGTATTTTATTCAGATGAATTAAGTTGTATTTTATTGTATTCAACTGTATACAGTTCTACTCAACTGTATTATTCATATGTATTTCTCTTTATTCAGCTATAATCTTTATTATGTATCTTTCAAATACAGATTAATGAGGGATCGTTTTAGTTCGTTGAGTTAAATTAGGAGAATATCAAGTGATTTGATTTCCTTCCCTTTTTAACCAGTTTAACCTTCCAGATTTTGCGCAGATACGTTACTGTATTTAGCGTTAATGCCGCTTGAATACAGCTAAATACATGTCAAACTTAGCTGGAATTTCACTTTTTACGCCTATTTTTTTGGTTGTATTAATGAATACAACAGCTTAAATACATGAAATACATTGTATAAAAATATAAAAGGTATCTATAACACATAATATAACAAAGGTTATCTATAAATGGCTAATTAAACCTAAAAGATGGTGCTTTATGAAAAATTACACATATGCATTCTCTGAAATTGTTTGTCATCCTAAAAGCCTAAAGAAACACTACGCCCAACCATTACACCTAAAAATCTTAACCTCTTAAAGCATCACAATTTCACAAGGAGAGTCAATTCATCGCCGACAATTCCCTTTCATTCTCTAAAATAATGATACCAACTTGACTGCATAAAACAATTTGTATGGCTAGTTTAAGGGAATATATCTAAGAAACCAAGGACGGTGGTACTCTTGTTTTCTATATGTTTGTTGGTTTCCCTTTACTTTTTCTTTTAATTGCTAATTGACCACATGACTACGTGAATAATCCTTATGTCACACATGGCCATTTTTAGTACAAATTTAGCATATGAAAGATCTCTTTTACCAAACTAACGGCGCGCACTATCAACGGTACATATTCTTTCACAAATCATTTCATCGCTCAAATATTTGATAATGTATTGGTCAAAATCTGCCCAAAAATATTCGATACAAAGTGGTATTACCAAAAGTGTTTGGGCCAAGATCGACTAGTAACCGATAGGATTCAATGTCGGGTAGTCAATTATGGCCGAGATCAAGTATCAGAAGGGATAGTAAAGGCTAGTTTAGCAGCAGGATCTTTAATGTTGAATATTCTCTGTGTTTGTACTTTTAGGGTTAATTGGAGACATGTCCCTTATAAATGGAAAGAGAGATAAGGTGAAAGACATGTAATATTCTCTGATAAGAACATTCTTTGAAAAGTAGACTTTCTCTCTAGATATAATACAAACATTACCTTTCTAAAGAGATTGATTGTCTATTATTCCACACAGTATTTGTCTATCACCCATCATTGTCAGAAGGAGGAATCATCCACCTCATTCTATATTGGGTTAATCATTCTCCTTATTTACTCTAGTGCCATTTATTGTTATTTATTGCTTGACATTCCCTCCTCATTAATAGTCTTAAAATATTAAATGCACATTGTATTTAATCTTCTTTTAACGCTGCTCTACATTATTCATATTAATCGATTGTAGATCTAAAGTTATTATCATTAACTAGGTTTAATTCCTCGTTATATAAATTTAATTAGCTTACCAAAGACTTTTTTTTTTTTGGTCAAACAGATAGGATAGTCGATTTGCGTGTAATCTGATCTAGATATCAATGTTATAAAAACACTAATAGGTTTTTTTACAGTTGAAATTTTAACAAAAAAAATATTGTTTAAAATAAAGAATTATAAGATGAATACAATAATGGAAGGGATGTTTATAGATTGTCTGCTAGAAAGAAACCTAAGAGTCATAATTTAATATAATTGACACCAAAGACTGCACCCCACAGCCACTAAGTATCAATCAAAACCCTCCTCTTGGACCATACAAGTTGCTCTCAAGTGATTATACCTAAGAATTATAGATCTTCTCCTATACTTTCCCCTTCCTATATATATATATATATATATATATATATATATATATATATATATATATATATATACTTTCACATTTATAAAAAATAAATAGCTATGGAGAATCTTAGATGACATATGCTCATTTCTCATCACCTTCCTAAGAATTTTTATGAACGTGATGCCATACACATAAATCCTTCTCAAAGAAAACCATATAATAACTCCCTTCTCATCATGTCCATGCATATCTCTTCTTGCATCAAGATCCAAAGGCTAAACTACTTAGAATTATTTCACTACTAAGTTGATCAAATACAAGATTCTTGATTTACTTATCATAGGTGTATCAAATATATGGGGTTGAGTACTAATTTGGTTTCTTTAGATGATCAAGGGCTTGATAATTGGAGCCAGAATTCTCTACCAGAGCTACCAGAACCACCGTCGATAAGGCGGCAGCCGACACCAAAACCGGAGCCATTGAAGTGTCCGAGGTGTGGCTCAATCAATACCAAGTTTTGTTACTACAACAATTACAACAAATCACAGCCTCGCCATTATTGTAAAGGTTGTAAAAGACATTGGACAGAAGGTGGTACTCTTCGTAACGTTCCCGTAGGCGGTGGCCGAAAAAACAAGCGGTTGAGGCCGACTGATCCCGTTGATCATATAACTAGGATGGAACGTGTCACATTAGAGGTGAACGATCAGAGGTGTCCTCTAATCAGCACGACCGTGCCAACTTCTACCATAAGGGGAAATATTACTACTTTGGATGAAGAGAAAAAAGAATCTGATATTTTCTATCCAACACTACCATTTGATCATACAATTAGCAATTTTTCCAAGAAACCTTTCAATGGAAATTACAATGACATATTTTCAGGTCTGAAGTTAGATGGAAATACACATTTTTCTTTCTCTTTTGATACTGTTCCATGTTCTCTTAGTACTCAAACTTCAAATATTTGCAATGAATACATGGGAAAATTTGATAGTACAGTGGAGGAGTCAACCATAACCACAGTCAAGCCAATTACAAGCAACACTGATCTCCTTTCTCAGCCATGGCAAATTCCAGAAACAAGCAATAATGTTACTGAAAATATGTCAAGTTATTGGAATTGGAACGAAATCGACACGTTGAGTACAGCTGATCTCAATATAGCATGGGATGATTTAGAGATCAAACCATAAGGGAATAAAGAGAAATGAAATGTCGATTTTATTAGAAGATTTTGTCTATTAATCAGTTCAAGGATTTGCTTTAGTATGTAAATTTCATGCTTGCTATTATTGTTCAAGTCTTGATAATTACTAGTAACTTGACCTTGGTTTTTCACAAAAATGTATATTCCCATATCATCTCTTTATCTATGTAACCGTCGAATTTCTGAAACTGACTTTTTTTCTATAAGGTTTTAACTTATAGACACTTAAATTTACCTAATTTTCCAGCTTGCTAACTCCACTTTTTTATGAAGTTACATATAATCTTTTCTAGTGATTCATAGTGCACAAATTTGTGTATACTGTTGGTATACAAAAGTTAAACTTTCGTTTAATAATAAGCTTCATGCTATAATGTTCAGTTTCCATTCTCTATCTTTGTCAATTCAATGAGCAAACAAGCACAGAAGGTTGTGTATGATTTCTTTTCGCCATGGATTCTTGATAGCAAAAGGTGAGAATTTTGACAGGTAAACGTAGAAGAGATTAGGGGTGGCAAACGGGTGGGTCATATCGAATATTTGCGGGTTGAAATTGGGTAATGCAAAAGCGGACAAATTATCCAACCCGACCCATATTTAATACGGATAAAAAACGGATTAATTGGCGGATAATATGGATATCCATATTATCCATGATTTCTTGAATATGATCACTTTTGGAATAATCCCCAAAATTTGAGGAATCCCTAATTTGAGGCTTTACAAATATAAAAGTTAAACTCATTAGTTGTTCATTGATTATCCATTTTTCAAGTGAATAATATAGTTTTTATTCATATTTGACCCGTTTTTAAAAGTTCATTATGCCACCAACTTTTTAATGGATAATATGGATGAATAAGTATTTTCTTTAACTATTTTGCCATCACTAAAAGAGATTGATGGGGTCTTTTCCAGCTAGGGGTGGAATGATGTAGATGTGAGAGAAGATTCTTGTGGATATGTATAATCTGTTTAGATGGATATCTTCAATAATTCTGCAAAGATTTCTTGTGCTCCCTACATCTGTCTAATAGCTAGGGGCGTCATTCCCTTCTTGCTCCCTACTTCTTGTATCATTTTTTTTGTTGAACAAAAAATGTGTTTTCTATTTATATTTTACGGATACGAGTTGTGGAATCAGCCACCGATATTTGTATTGGGATAGACTGTCAATATCATATCCTTAGATTACGACCCTTTCCCGGATCATGCATGAACGCGAGATACTTCATACAACGAGCTGCCTTTTTTATAAGCAATTTGTTCTTTCCTAATAGTACCATCTCAGAAATCAGCTCTGAATTATCTCTTGTAATAAAGACCTTATTTATATTTGGTCATAGGAAAAGTTAAAAAGAGCTCTTACACATTATATGAAATAGGCAACCACCTTATAGGCACCCGGCTCAGGGCTGTGCATTTGGATCGAAAATTTGTGAATTTGAACCGATCCACTTTATTCGGATATTCGGATCAGATATGGGTTAGATTTTTGTAAAAGTTCGGAATTTCGGATTGGATTCGGATTTGTATAATTTTAATCCAATCTGACCCAAAATATGAATAATATGGACATTTATAAATATTAGACTTATATTTTAGGGTTTTGTCTTCTCATTTCATCCACCTCTTTTTGGACTCTTCTTTTTCTTAGTTTATATCGAAGTTTCTCTCTCTAACCTCTCTTCAGATTGCTATGTCTGCTTCTCTGAAGTCTTACCTCCCTGTCTCTCATTCTCAGTCACTCCTTCCTATCGACGGATAACGACGCCTCTCCCTTATTAGACATTTGTTTGGAATTTCAGTTTATTTTATTTTGCTATGAAATTTTTATTTGGTCTATCGCTATGAAAGACATTTGTTGCCTTTCAATTTAATAGAATGGTGAATAACAGCAGCCTTAAAAAGTACAATAGCCGATTAAATTGTTAGTAGCCTTAATGGGGTACAATCCGATCAGAAAATCCAAAATATTTACCTGATCCAACTTTAAAATCCGATCTGATCCAATTTAATTTGGATTAGATTCGGATTGCATTTTATAAAATTCGAAATCCGAAATGTGCTCGATCCGATCCGATCCGACCGATGCACAACCCTAATCCGTCTTAATAGCTAATTTGCTTCAAGGGAATATAAGTGAAAGGATTGGTTTATAATTTAATATTTGTCAAAATTTACCAGTTGTACGCATATTTATGTTTCGTGTGAAAATATTAGAATCCGTTGAACATTATATGTATGCTTCATCAGGATCTGTTTACACATCCCTTCCCCTTCCCTCTTTTTCCCACCCAACATAAAGGAAGAAAGAAGAAAAATGTATCGTTTGTTGTGAGGAAGCCACAATCCACATATTTTGGTGTTCAGGGGTCCCTTTGTGGCATAGAACACAAGTTGGTCTAATGCTTTTTATAAGAGAGCACATGGGGGACTAACGTGGTATTGAGACTGATCATAAGCCTATATATGCCCAAGTACAATGTCACAAGAGTATTCTCTTCTCATTTCTTCCATTTGAGTGAAGAAGAAGAAAGTATATGTGGGCAATGATAATTTCTTTTTTTTTTTTCGGCAAGTAGAACATTTTTATTTACCAAATAGAGTTATGTACAGACAACAAAAAAAGAAACTGATAGTTGGACAGCAAGCCCCAACTCCAGCTACCACTCTACACTACAATCGCCTCAACTAATCTCATATTGACAATCCTAGCTATAATGGATAGAAATTTAGTTGCTCCAGCCATTTTGCAATCCTCTGCTTCATTTCTTATTTGATTTGAAGATAATACCTGATGAAGAAATCTTGAAAAAAATGAGTAAAATCAGATTAAAGCTAAATAAACTTAAAGGAGGAAACGTAGAGGGTGTTTGGCTAAGTTTATAAGCTGGTCAAACTGGCTTATAAACACTTTTTGGCTTATCTACGCGTTTGGTAAAATTAAAAGTGCTTATAAGCCAAAAATAAGCCAAAAGCCATAAGTTGGTCTCCCCCTACTTATTAAATTTCAGCTTATAAGCACTTTAGGTTTGACCAAAATATTTACTATTCTATCTCTAAAATACTTCTTTTTAGAACAAAAGTCTTCGTATATCCAGTTCTTCAGCTGCTTATTATTAATTTCAGCACTTTTATCCAAACACGTAACTGATTATTTTTTAAATCAGCTTCAGCACTTAAAAGTGCTTCTCAGCACCTAATATTTATCAGCTAATCTAAATCAGCTAAGCCAAACGGGCTCGTAGTCATTGTCTATTGTTGGCCTGTATGTTAAAATCAGTCGGAGACTTATGGTTTAACATCATGGATGTGAGCGGTTCAAGTCTGCTTATCTTCAACTCGTGAACTTGACCGATACAAAACAAGTGATAACACGCGATATTCCTCCTTTCAGGTTCTCTTCCACTTCTAGAACTAAACGTACTCTGATGCATTACATGGATTAGATGAAATCATTTATAGAGGAAAAGATAACGATTACATGTTGCTACTATGTTGCAAGCCACCTAGGAAAAGGAAAACCAGAAATAAATTCGTCAACCTCATCTCAATAGCAGACGGGCGGGCCGTGTCTGAATTCAGACCGGACCAGAGTCTTCTTTGTTTGAGCTGCTCCAAACAGTCAATCAATTCATTTTTCCTCTTTCTATCACAGACTTTAACTATTTGTTTATATAGTGTGTGAAGTCTAACTAATGCAAAGTGCCTCACGTAAGGAATAAAGGCCTGTTGGGGATGTAGTTGCTTTGCATGGCAAAGAAGGAGCCAGCTGATTGCCCCTTTTCACTCGCTGTGTGAATAAGGTCTTAGCTAGCATTTGGCCGTAGATCCCAAATTTATTTTGAAAAATCTGATTTGGGTGAAGTTTGGTTTGAAGATGAAAATGTGTTTGGACATACGATTTCAAAACATATTTTTCAACTTTATTTTGGGAAAACATGTATATAATTCCCAAGTTTTGGAAATTTGGCCCAAATTCAGCTTATTAGCTGAATTTGAGATTTCAAATATGTGATTTGAGTTTTGGCCAAAATGTGGGTCAAATTTATGGCCAAACATGAGATTTGAAAATAAATTTCAAATTAAATTTGGGAAATTATATGGCCATACAGGGGCTTAATCTATAAGGGCATTCTGGGCAGGTCGCAATAAGCCGCTAGTCCAAGGTTTTATACAATTTAAAAAAAAAAAAAATAGAAAATTTGTTAGATGGTTGCCTGTTGCAATATCTGATTCATGCACACAGTAATTATACTCTGCATCTTTCTTGATAGTTGCCTGAAATATTACCCAAAAATTAAATTTACTACTGAAAATATATACTCCAACTATAAAGATCAAATTTTCTAAAGTATAGAACCATTAACCTTACAGCCAAAAGAGCTATATATGTCAGAAATGCCTTCACATTAAATCCTCAAAGGCTCAGACAACTTCCACTCTGCCCGCATTTGAGCAAGGAAATTAACATTAAGTCTGTATTGAAAATGCAAGGACTCATTTATATAAACCTATCTATAATGAATATATTAACAATCTTGCGCTATTTCAGAGCTAGAATATCTTTTAGTATTAAATTTGTTGGAGTTTCAAAATCCAACAATGATTCATGGGGTTCAAATCTTTATAAGCAAAACATAGCAACAATTTATGGGATTCAAACTTTCACAATCTAAGTATGAAAATATATTGGAGTTTCAAACACCAAGAATGATTCATTGGATTCAAACCTTTATAACTAAGTTCAAACCATAAGAACAAATCATGGAGTTCAAATATTCACAAAATAACAAACAAATTGGAGAAAAACTAAGTGACAGCACTAACAGAGACAATACTAAGACAATGTGCTGAGTAAGAAATTAAACAAATAAGTGACAAATGGGTGTAATCAGTGTTATAAGTTCTTTTTGAGGTTTGAGTGTATTTTTCCAGAGTCGTACTTATGATATCATTGGATTGTCAACATTTTTTCTTTTTCAACATTTTTCTTCTTTGGTTTAAAACTCCAGCACAGTCATGTAAATGTTTGAAATTTCAATTTGCTATGCAGGAGTTGGAGTTTCACATACAGGATTTCTCAAATTAATGGAGTTTCGAAACCCAGCATCTATTGGGTGTTTTTGTCCAAAATTTTTTTTTTTTTTGTGAAAGAAGTGACTAAATGCTAATAGTTTTCTGAATACTTACTAAACTCTAATATCA